ATAGTGGTGTTTTTTAAGGGGGGAATATCATCGAATGACTTCTCCTGCCGGGGTGAGGTGGGAGGGAGTGTCAGACTCTTACTGACTAAAAACCACCCCGTTCCTACTCCTGCACTTCGACCCGGAGCCCCGGTAACCCATTAGGGTCTCCGCGACTCCGAATCGGCATCAGCCCTATTGGGCCCCATCTGTAGTGTATAGACAGTGGTGTGAAGTTGGCCGCTAAATATAATTACTGAAGGTCATTATAATTTGTAAATTTTTATTAACTAATCATATGTCATAGAACTAGCTTCTAAATCATAAAAAATTGAAAGTGTTATGCCTGACTGTTATACACTTCTTTATCGATTCTCATTCACATTTTTCCAGTAAAATTTTAAATAACAAAAATTAACTTAAAAGTATGAATTAGCACGTATTAAATGTACTAATTCATATATTCTTATGAACAAAACTCTCAACATATTTCTTAAAGATTTTGCTAAACAAATTTCAACTTTAAGTCAACCGTAAAAGTCTGTTTACAAGAAAATTTCCACGGCATGTTTTTCAAAGGAAACATTTTCACAGAAGGCGGAACTCGAAGTATACGATCTGAAACTAGCCAAGCACAGGAAAACCGCACACCTCAACCTCAAACCCTGAACTTCAGCAGCCATTCACTCAATTTTCTACTACACGAAAACTCGTATGAAATATTTTGAATGAAAACTGTAAATTAATTCAGGCGAACATTAAAACAAACTAGTTGAAATTACAACGACATGAAACCAATTAACTGGTCTACCTTGGGAGTTATTGGATGAATGAAAAATATTATCCGGTTAAATTTAAAATTGAACCGGATACTTTTTTGCTCATTTCCCAATTATCCGTAATGAGGATTGAATGTAAGGAATTAATTAAGTTAATTGACTAATTGGTTCACTTCTTGGTGTGACGTGCATTGAAATTATCGCCAAAAAAATTGCCTCATGAAAAAATCACTTATCTTATTTGTTTAACCATTCTAGAATAGAACAGTATTTTGTTAAAGATAATAATTAATTAGAACACCACACAAGACATACACACGTCTTGATTGTATTCAACATCATACTGGGATAATAGCTCTTTTGTCGTGAGTATGATAGAGGAACATTTTAATAACAAGTTTTTTGATTACTAAATTCTATTAGGTCTTAAAATTAAATAGAGAAATTGATAATGATTTCCTGCTACATTCGTTTAAATGAACAGACTTATACGTAGGGGCTAGTGAGTACAAGCCATTCATAAACCATTGAATATACTGTCGTAAGAAGTACAGGTGAACTTTCTTTTGCCCAAATGTAAATAAAGAAAATTTTGCGTAATATAAAACAACTTTCGCTTCAAATGGAAGGCCCCTTCCCCTTTATCGTATTTTCCTGTTTCGTTTTTATACAATAAAGTTTATTTATGTTCATTTCATTATCTAGATATTTTGTAATAAAATTTTATTTTTTGACATAGTAATTTGATTAGTGTAAAAGCTTATTTTAAATTTTAACTTTTAAGATTTCGTGGTTGAATCTTGGCTCAAAAGGTAACACATTTGTTCATGTATGACATTCTCTAATATCAAGTTATTTTTAGTGGCAAGCATTATGTGTTATTTTGTGTGTTGTAAATATTGTCTCAATCAAAATTTTTCATTAAACGTAGAAAATTATTTAACTAAGCGACATATCGATTTTCTTATTAACTCATTCTGAAAAGTATAGTTAAAACCGAAAAACAAAACTGCACTTAAATAAAAAAGTCAATAAACTGACTTGACGAAATACCATTTCCGACAGAATCATCGAAATACCGTTTATAGTCTACTGAGGTTCGATTCCAAATCCCACTAGAGTTGACTTAATCATAAGAACGCCCGCGAAATCGCTACCGCTCAAACGAGGCTCTGGGGACTAACCGACTATCGGCCTCCTTGCTTCCTTACTAGCCGAACTAGTAGTAGGGGAGTCCGCGATACTAAATTTCGAACGCCTTTTTGGAACTTACTGGATTTTGAAGATTTGATAATAGATAGAAAAAAAATTGTTTAACCTGTCGTGTGCCAGAACGCAGGTTTGTATAGTCAAGTGGTTAATTATATTTTCTTATAACAGGAAGCAGTCCGTCAGTTCTTTAAAATTATTTTGAATGTAACTTCTGTTTTAGTGCTGATATTACTAGTGTATAAGTTTAATTTCTCAAAATAAAATAACCTGCTGGTATTCATAGTGGAGTTAATCGTGTCAGACGGTAGTCGAGTACTCTATACCCCCTTCTACTCTTACAAAGCACGTTCAAATTGGCAGTTTCCAAATGCACTTTCTTTAGCATGTAATCGACCTCTCCTTATTGTAACGATTCTCTATTTAGTTATAGTTATATTTTGATCGCCCCGTCTTTTCAGATCAAATGAACATATGGATACTTTTTTTAAGGAGGGAAAATCATTGATTTACTTCTCCCGTCTGGGTGAGGCGGGAGGGAGTGTCAGACTCTTACTGACTAAAAATCACCCCGTTCCTTCTCCTCCACGGAGCCCCGGTAACCTGGTCAACATATGGATACTAGGACACTAGGTTAGGTACCCCATTTGACAACCTCAGGTGAATACCGAAATCCCATCATGGACTCTCCTACTATAGCAAACTTGGCAGGATTACATCAGACTACCCCCTCCCACAATTGCCGTATGAAAAACTTGAGCCGTTAAAGTGTTGTTGCATTTTTGCCTACTTTTAAAACGTTAGCTTGATTTTAAAACTAGCTCAGTTTAAAACTACGCTTTCACGATGGTTTCTACTTTTTATGATTCATTCACTTCATAAATAGTTGGTTACCTGTTTCTCTTGTTTGTTTATGTAGTTGTGTTTTATAATGTGGTTGAGATTTATAGTATCGAAGTAACTCTTTTTTAATATTTGCACTTTCGTTTATTCATTTTGAATTAACGTAAAATATTTTTACGTACAGTGCAGTAGTGGTTTCTAAGCCATTGTTCGGCACGAGTGGGCCGGTTCGATTGAAGTGATACTACGACCTCATAGACAACCGACGTGAAACAACGTTTGAGTGTGAGTGAGGTTACCATAGGAGGCCTAATTACCCCCTCTCCCCAGTCTCCCCCAAAATCCTCAAATACCCAATTCCCAAAAGGCCGGTAACGCACTTGTAAATGCACATTTAAAATAAATACGCTCTTGGTGTTTCGGGTGTCCATGCGCAACTCCGCCGATTGCATACCATCAGGTGATCCGTCTGCTAATTTACCGGCTTATCTCATAAATAAAAAAAATCTCGACAGCTTTTATTGACCTTGCTGCTATAAAAAATTAACCATATTTCTTTTGATTGACAAGGACCAAACATTTATTTTAAATACGTATTTATTAGTAGTATCTAGAAAAGTATCTAGTTTTGTATACTTTATAAAAGTAATGTCACAGATTTCATTGTTACACTAATTTAATAACTGCACACTACAAATTTAAATTAAAAATAATAAAATAAAAATTCAAGCAGTACCCTCAAAATAATGTAATACTGTAAAAATGTACACTTAAAATATTCAGTGGCTCTTCCATCGTTTCACTTTACTTTCAATATGAACTTTGCAGCGATTATTTTAACTTCTCGCCATTTCTCAAGTAAATTATAATGAGCCCAGGTGCTAATATCATATGGCACAATTTAGTTTATAGATGTCACTCGTCATTACGATCTTGTTACATACGACGCAAAACAAATAGGTATACACTTAATAATGATTGAATGTGCACATAAAAGCTTATGTACCTTTCAAGATATAGTTACACAAAAGACTCTATGTCTTACTGTCTAAGGTTCTTATCACATTGTATGTTGACTTAAAATTTGATACGGTAAATAGGAGTCCCCAAGACGCGCGGTATTAAAGCTGGCTTATGGCACTGTATTAATTTTGAACCGTAGTAACTTAGGTGGTGACAGAACTAAGATACCAACGCATAATTCACTTGGTAACACAAATGAAACTAGCGCTTAATTTACTGTTATAATTTAGTGAATTCCTTTACAGTCCAAAGCGTAGTGAGGAACTTAGCGGTGAGATGGGATTCTGTTGTGTGGAGGAATTAATACTATATTGCTGTTGTGGTCTGCGTTATCTTGTACGAATTTGTAAGTATTTGATGCAGTTGCTAAATTTATTTGCAAATGGGACTAGGTACAATGAATAGCTGGTTGATTTCTGCGTTAAAACTCAATCTTTGCTATGTCTTTTAATTTTGGAATTATCTATTAATAATCTGTGTTTGGATTTAAGAATATTAGGAGGAGACTGATAGATAAATAACATGTTATGTATTACTATACTTGAACTTTTCAATAACTGTCTCAATGGATAGCGAGTATCATCATTACTTAGAGGTATATTTTCGGTTTATATAAACTTGCTGAAACCTAATGGTATAAAATTAACAATAGATATAGGCACCATTTTTCCAAAATATTAAACCATGAAAATTAGACATTTGAAATATTATACTCTTTGTTAGTTATTCAAGTAGTTTTTGAGGTACGTACATAACTACTGGCTACATTTTTGAGATACGTACTACGTGACTGATAGTAATTATCATAGTCGATCTTAAATCTAGAATGTAAATAGAACAAAAACTCATCATAGTACTTGTACTTTATCTAGAAAGTTGCCCAATTTTTATTATTACCCCTGTACATATGAACAAGCAACAACACGTGAAATTGCTTACAAAAAAGAAAAGGGAAAATCACACGGAGCGTAGCATCACGGGCCGACTCGGTTCGCGAACTACATTACAGTTTACATAAAAACATCGCGTTCAACGACAACGGGGCATCAACTTTCCCAGCGAAGACATAAGCGAAATTGAATTACACATATTGAAAAAGAAATGTGTAGCTCCTTGGTAGGCGTGGTTTTGTTGGAAGACTCCTCCTACCCAGTGATCCGCGCATGAATCGCACCGGCATCGCTCTCAAGTCGGCCGGCCGCTCCGTGTGTCACGAACAAGTCAGTGCGAACCCGACCGCGCGCTAGGGCTGTGTCGCGCCACTGCACAACTTGCTCCACACGACGAACTAACTTCCAGTTTGTGTTTTGTTACGCGAAAATACACAAAACTTTCGTGTTCAACTTGCGTAAAATTTAATATAACTTTACCGGATCAACACGAGAAGTGATGGACGAGATTAATGCCTGTTAACAAATAATTTGTTAATTAAACTGACCAAGTTTGAGTGGAATCCATGTTCAGTGAGTGTGGCGAGGATGACAACCGCACGTTTATTTATTACAGATCTGTTCCATGAACTATGACCAGTTACAGAAATATTTTTTCATTTTAACATATTGATGTAGGTGAGTATTTATTGAGTAACATTACTTTTCGCATCAACCACTTCATTTCTCTGCACTTCCCTATGGTTGACTGCAAGAGAATGCCTTAAGGCATTAAGTCCGCCATTCACTGTATTTTGTGAAGAAGAAATAAATAAATGAATACTTATAATGCAACTTGAAAGCTCATAAAATAATTTTGAAGTTACTTAAAGAACTTTAATATATATATATATATATATATATAACGCAATAAATAATTAGTTCTCCATTACTGGTTATGCTGTGGTTTTCATATTTTGTTTTAACATCGTGGAAGTAACTGAAGAAAGTTTAAAGTCGTGTCTGAATAAATTATACTTAAGTAAAAGGCTTCAACTATGGAAACTTAAGCTGAAGAACAAGTAAATGAAGTGGTTTAAACTCATTAATTATGCCTGAATGTTTGTGCTCTAAGTTTACTCAGTAGAGAAGAAAGCCCGGGCATGACTTCTTGTCTAAGTAAGTGCTTATAATCATTTTGAAAACCTTCCCCTTATATAAGACGATCTATCCAAATTAAAAGGGTAAAATAAAGCGACTTGAACTACTTAAACCAAAATTAGCGCTAAAGTATATAAAATACTGCCTGTGGCGTACAAAATTGTTGTCGGATGCCCTGCCCGTGACGTAGGCACCCACTCAGGGATTTTTCCAAATCGCCCCTTAAGCGAGGTAAAAAGGGATAAAGTACGTTTTCACAGGCAACGCCGCGGGCCCAGCGGCTAGCAATAAATAAAGTTGGCAATTGCTCTCCCCAATGAAGCTCGAATTTTTCAACCAGAAATACTTCGAATTAAAGATCTGTAAAATCGGTAAATTAACCGATTGAACAAATATATTTGTATGATATTTTATGCAAACCCATATTATTTTTCGGTCGATCTATTCTGTATACCCGTTTTAACGTATTTCGCAATAAAAGCAATAAAATTACAGAAAACTTATGGATATTAATGAAAAATCCATAAATAAATAATATATATAATAATTAGGAATTAAAATAATAACATCATAAAATGCTGGCTATATATTGCAAATTACAACAATAATTTTCAATAAACCATAAAACATTTACAATTCATACTGGATATAATAAAACAATTTATATAAATCAACTTTACGGTCACGTCGTAAATTTGCGTAATTGCTAATAGTCAAAGTATTTTTATTTCATCCTTTCATAATGTTTTCAATATATTTTTTCGTATAACAAACCTACTCGTTAGCTAAATTATTTATTTAAAGCACGATATTAATTCCAAGAATTTTATAAATCGAAAGTGATTTAAAGTTACCGTTCCCTCAAAATGTTATTTAGGGCTCTTCAGGTATTAAAAATTGAATCAAAATTCAAAGCTATTAAGGTCTATTAAGACAGATTTAGATGCCAAAACTCGTTTTGTTTAATCTGATGTTAAAACCTTTATACAAACATTTTAACATTTCAAGTGCAAATTACTAGTAAAATATAATAATATCTTCTATTATATTTATAGACGTTGGTAAAATTCTAACGAATTACGAAGCAACCAGTATAAAGGTCAATAGATTTTTTTTAATAAGTTTTTCATTAACTTAAAAGCTTCTTGAAAGCTTAACAAGAAGCTTCGTCAGTTTTACAAAATGCGGACCAACATAATTTAATATTCTATTCATTTTCTGTATGAATTCCTGTGTACAGAATTTTTAGGTGCTTTTTAGAATAAAATGTTTTATTTTATATTTCTTTTTATTGTGAAAGAAGATGTATTTATGTTTTTCAGTAATGAGTACACGTTCACCCCTTTGTTAATGATCATGTAGATAAACCTGACAAGTAGGTATTATGAAAGTGATGTTTCGTAATTCAATGGGATTATTATGTGAGTGGAAATACTCGTTCGTTATTTAAGTGATGTAATTTTTGCACATGTTTAGTAATTGTCATTCATATTCAAGTTTGAGTTTTTTTGGGCATCATACATAAAATGTTAATTTTAACTTTTTATTACCCAAAAGAACGTAATTTCATGGACGTAGTTTTTAAAACTTTGACCATCAATAGTATTTATTCTTTAATCAGTATCTGAATGCAGATGCAACCTTTTTCTATTAAAACGTTTAGTTACGAATGCGTTATACGACAAGACTACATAATAACATCGTACATTAAAAAGTATTACGTTGAATTATAAAACCCTTTGTAACAGGATACAATTAAAATCAATTACAAGCGAGGGTGATTTTTATTAGGACCGCTTATCTAAATAGTGTGAGAAGTAAGCTTAAGTGGATTTGTAGTCACGGCAGAGCCAATGCTTCCGCAATGGTGAGTAATTTAAAGACGGCCACGGCTGATATCTGCGGGGGCATCCATTACCCCCAACAACGGGGTACCAGGCTCCCATAAATTATAAAGAGGAATACTTATACGCTGATTTATATAGAGCTGTAAATTTTCTATCCTATATAGTATTTAGACTCGGTTGCTGTTACCACAGAGTACGTAAAGATATACGGACTTTAAGGTAGCCTACATTACTAAAATTTTACACTAAACTAAAAGTTTAGCTAATCACAATAATTATGACAAAGAACTTTCTTGGCAACTGAAAAAACTAATTTGTAAATTGCAATACAGTTGATATCAAGAACTGTATGATATTGAAATGCTGTGGCACACGACATATTAAATACGTTTATCTTATGCTCATTTTATTTTAAAATCTCATTGGTTTAATTCTATTCACTTATATATTTCTAGCTCCACTCTTATAAAGCGATTTACCTGCTGACACGGTGTTGGACGTCTGACAATTCCTTATTCTGTGGTCCTACTTTATAATGGCCAAGGCAACACATGTGAGCCTCAATTACCACAGCTGTTGGCGGTAATACGCGTTCCGTTATGGAGTGAGAAAGATATGTTACGTCGTGACCAAAACGTATTAGGAATTTTTAAATTAAGCCATGGATCTCGGTCAAATTTTTAAAATGGTTGAAGGGCTGAATTGTCTTGTAAAGTATTGTAAGTGTAAGTACTTCTTTTACTTTACAAGTTTTCAAGAATGGGTAATAAGATTATGTTTCAAACTGCCGGGCAAGAGGTCTCAGGTTCGATTCCCGGGTCGGGTAAAGTATTACTGGGATTTTAAAAAAAATCTCAGTAGTAGCACGGAGTCTGGAATTGTGCCCAGTATATGGCTATAGGCTCACCCCCTACTACATGGGACTCGTAACATAAATAGTGAAAAGTTAAGATAAGTTAAGATAAGGGTGTTAGATTGCACAGTGGCATAATGTGCACCTCTGCCTACCCCTTCGGAGATAAAAAGGCGTGTTGTTATGTTATGTTATGTTATGTTATTTTATAGTTAAAATGACATGATTTAAAGCCATACCTAGCATACTAGGTATTGCTTTAAATCATGTCATTTAAAGTATAGTGTTTGCGGTAACAACCACAAAAGTAATGAGAAAAGAGAAAAACGACTTACCAAATAAATATATATCATTCAAAATCTAATTAAAAATGTTAACTCCTTGCTAGACAATTAAATGGGGATAAATTTTTTAGTAGACAAAGGAAATAAGAAACAAAAACAAAATATTCCGTCAACTTGGTATTATGCCAACTTTGCCTGAATATTTCTTTTATCTTTATAAGCATTTTAGTTTAATAAATATTCATGGGTAATGATTTAAACACAGTTTTGCGTAAAAGGCTTTGAGACTTATAGTTGTCCAGTATCCCAAAATGTTGAGAAATACCTACTTATAGTATTCAGCTTTTCAACAGTCCATCAACAAATTGGTTACTTGCTACGAAAACGTAGCAGTCTACGTAGTAGTAGCTACGCCGTAGCAAAAGCGAGTATTTAAAGTTTCGATGTAAAACTATTTCTTAAAAAATATTCTTCTGCTTGAATCTATTCGAAGAAAGATAACAGTTGGCCTTAAGAATGTTGAGTGTCACCTTGAACATTAAGTTAATCATCACCAACAGAAAATGTTCAAACTATCAATCAAATTCCATACTCAGTTATTCTATAAACTAATCTGCTAACATAAAGCCTAGTGGGGCAACTAGGCAAACTGCAGGAATTGAAGACAAATCTGTCGTAAGCTTAGGTCAAACCTATATTTTGAATTTTCAGCTGATAACTCGTCACAAAGCTTTAACTAGTAAATTAAATGTGCGACAGTCATTAAGTTTAATAACATTCTGTATTTTTCGATGTCCCAAACATTTTTCACTTCCATTTAATACCGATGTTGGGCTAATAAAAATTAAAGGCTCCACGGAGACATTTGCTCGCACTAGTGTTGTGCCCTTGGCAGTAAAAGGGCAATATTTGTTTTAGTGGTACGGCTACCTGCCGTTATCCGACTCTTGCGGCTTTTGAACAAGCAAACTTGAGGTGAATAATGTTAGATAGGATACACGTCATTACTTTGAAATTACAGAACGTAATTAAATCACGCGAATGATCCTTTTAAGTGTGTAATGTATTATTTATTTTTGTGTTTTAATTATCTTTATTGACTTGCTATTCGATTTTTTTTATATATATTTGATGGGCCGACATTTGATCACTATCTCGCCTAGTGGTAAGCGATGATGCGGTCTACGATAGAACACGTCGTCCCATATGATAGTATGATAGATTTGATATGCTAGTAATACGACTTTGTCGGTGATCCATTATTACCTTTAAATATGTTTACTTAAGAGAACAAGCTAATCGTTATATTACCGTCATCCAGAATCAATCAAAACCTAGTTGGAAAAGTTACGTCCGTCTTAGCAAGATTTAAATGAAGAACAAGAAGCAAATTATTCATCTCAAAAATTGATTCCCAGTAAATTATGTAGTCTTTTAAAATAAAGTAAATAAAAATATAGAACAAGAAACTTACAGCATTGTTGTCCCGAGAGAGAGGGAATGAAATATAATCTCTCTTTGTTATTCATTCGTGTCTCGACGGATTCATAATTT